TGTGTTAAAAATGAGTTTTTATTCATTATTTAAAATAACGAATAAAATATCGAATAAATTATTCGCAAGCAATTTATTCACGAATAATTTATTAGTGAATGATCTGCGAATAATTATATTACGGATAAAATTTTATTCGAATAATTATCTAAATAACAATTTATTCGAATAATGCCCAACTCTGTATACATACACAATAAATGTATACGGTGGCGAGAATGTAAATAAAGAAGATACATTTTGATAAGTTTTGACTACTCTTCTTTGTTTAAAAAATTGTTATAAATTTTTTATGAAAATATAGATTACTATCTTAAAAAATCATGTCAATCAAAATTTTCTAACTTTTTGGAACATTTATAAAAATTCGACGAATTCTAACAAATGTTGGTCAAAATTTTTAACAGATCAACTTTTTAATCAGATTTAGAATTTTAGTATTATTTTGAGTATGCAGTGTTTAGCCCCTTACATTTTAGTATAATAAAGTGTAAGTTTGAAATAGCTTGGACATACCTTTGATTTTTGACAATTTTTTTGTTCGCGCATTTTCTTCCGTAGATACAAAGTATTTTCGACATTTTTTTATGAAGAAACCTAAAAAAAAAAATTTACCACGAATCAGCGGAAAGTCCTAGATACTTAAACTTTGCACTTTGAATTGAATCGGCTACAAAACTGCATACTCAGAATGTTTCTAAGGAATCTGATTAAAAAGCTCAGTTTTTTGATGAAACTTTGTCGAATTTTGCAAATTTTTGTACAAAGTTTGAAATTTTCTCTTACATGGTATTTGTACCATAAGAATGCTAAGATGTTTTATTTTTTAAAATTTCACTAAGTACAAGTTGGAATCGTTTCATGAAAAAAAAACAAAACTTAACAAATAAATATACAAAATTTAGACAAGGGTGATAGAATGCAATATAGCGAGGGTAACAGTTTTACAGAATATAACATAGTCAAAGATCGTAGAAAATAAGGATCCCTTATATTTTATGTTCTTTGTGATACGAAAGTGGTGCCACGTTTGTACGAAAAATTATTTTTGGGCCAGAATACATTGATAATCGTATTGAATTATTAAAGAAAACACTGAAAATCGGGATTTAATCGGTACAAATACGAAAAATCGGAACAATCGCGGCAGCCGTTTGCTGATAGGTGAAGTAGTCATAATGTTCGCAGGAGATTTTTGGCAGACGCTACCTGTCATAGAGCATGGCACTGCGGCAGGGGAGATAAGTGCGTGATTGAACCTCACTACTAACATCCAGTGATAGAGTTCGGGCTCTTTGCTCAAGACCCCCTTGGTAGAGATCGGGGAGATCCGCATTGCAAAGTACCTGGTGAAGCGATCACATACATGTCTGTTGATGCAGTGATGGCGAATGAGAATGCGACTAAAGATGGGCACGGGACTAAATATTTAATGGCGATCCCGCCCATCCCGATGTTTTTCAAAATTTTACCGCGGATCGCGTGGGTTCCGAAAACTATCACTAAGAAAAATTCACATGTGTTTCAAACTAATTCTAAATAATCAAAAAAAAACAAAACCAATCCGATTATTTTCTTTGGTTTGCTGTTCGTTTTCATCTCAATAAAAAATAAAAAAGTGAAGATTTTTTGAACGAGACTAAGCCTAATTAGTATAGGAACACACTTGAGGTGCCACCTTTCCAATAAAAGAATTAACGAAAACGATTAACATGGTCCAAAGTTATCCGGTACCATATTTACATAAAAAAAAATATTCCAAATAATTAATAAGCTTCCGCTTTTTTTGAAGTAAGTTAAAAGTAAAAGGCGATAATAGGTTTATTCGCGTATTGATTTTCCCCTTCGCGTACACAAAAATCCAGCAAAGTAGGGGAAATTGAGAGACCAAATTAACATTTCATTCTGATGAAAAGCTGCTGGTAGTTTCTGCGGGAAAAAATTTTGTCAGCAGTCATTTGCCAGCAAAAAAAAAACATCTGATCAAAGTCACTATTAGATTTATTATTATGATTTTTAAGTTTGAAATAACTTCTTAGAACTGCAAATGTATCGGAAGAAAGCAAATGCTCATTTACTCATGTTTGCTTAGCAAATTGCTTTAGGAAAACTCTTAATTTACATATATTCTTTTCAAGTTTTCTGTTTTATGCTTTCGTATGTTAACAAAATTTCGATCAGCTGTACTAAAAACTTGCAGCAAGTTTTTGCTAGTTTTGCATTCGTGTACTTTTTTTTTTAAACATTTCTCTCTTTGAGAGAGAACAGATCATTAGAATTTTGCTGCTGAGAGTTTTCTGCTGGAAGATTACGCGAATACACCTAATTCCATTACTAATCTGCATTTTATTTTTTACTTTCACATGGCAGACTTCAGATATCAGTTTGCTATTTTTGACCAAAATCAATGAATATTGTCCTAACATTCTAATAAAGTACTCGCTTTACCTTGGCTTCTTACCAAGAATCAATCGAAAAATTTCAAAAATAAAGTTGTGTAAATCTTTCTATTGCAATTTGGACATGGCCCGATATGTAAAATACATACATATTTATATGCATCACTTAGCTACAATCGGCATTGTATTTTTATACAAAGCAAGAGAAATTTAAGTATGTATGTATGTATTTTCATTGCTTACCGGAAATGTTCTCCATGCATTTGAATGCCATTTTGCTTTCGTTGACTTTCTTGATTGAGCCCGGTTGCAGTGCATTGGCCAATTTGCATAACAGTACACCATCCTTTAGCACTTCAAAAAAGTTGTCCATATCACCGGCTGTGTTGATGGGTTCACCAGTGACGATCTTGATCCATTCTAAGCATTCTTGGGCCAGCTCTTCGCTGTATTTTGAGTTGATCTGGAAAAATAAGAGGAAGCAAATATTGAATACAATAATTATATATACATATGTATGTATATGTATGTATGTATCTTTGTAGTAATTTTTACAACAAATTTATAAGAGTTGAACTTTGATTTACAAGCAAATCGAAACCTAACCTTATTTTGATACATCTTTTTGCTCAACAAGCTGTTATGTATTGAAACGATCCTATGTGGACAAAGTACAGTAGACTTATGAATCAAGAAAATTTGCCATAAAGCAATTGTGTGGGCAGTTTAGAAGAAATTTATCAAATTAGTCGACATAGAAAAATGGCTTATATAGAAGAGAGAATCTGTACAACGCTCTTTGTTGTTTCATTATCATTAGAGCAATTGCTATCGAAAATTGCGCTTATCAATGTGATAAGATTGGTGATGTTGTCGATTACTCGTGTTGTGCGCTTTTATTATTCTTTGTGTATACTATTGGTGCATTGTAGGGCACTTCTTATAAACATTGTACACACGCACCTATGTAAGTATATACATAAGCACATAAATATAAATATACTAGCAGACCCGGCGAACCTCGTCCCGCCCAAAATTAATTTTATTTGATTGAAACTTTTTGGTCCAACATTTTCGCCAACAATTCACTTTCACGCTCATCTGCTAAGATTATGGTTTGGTAGTCATTTGCCGCTTTAAATAACCTAACGAAAGTGTTATGTCCGTGAAGAAGTTCTTGAAATTCTCCAATTGTGCATCATTTCATAGCACGGTTAATCGCAAAACGAAATAAATTTGAAGGACTTTTTCCTCTTCACTCCCTGGCGAAAACAATGATCCGGTTCTATGGTGAATCTGTTCTAGAAGCTTTATAGTATATGTAGTTGGTGGCAATTTCAAAATGGATGCATATCATTGTTCTACAGGAATGGAATATACATATGCTTATTTCAGACAAAATACCTTAAAAGCTTAAAAGCATAATAATATTGGAATATCACATCCATTGGGCTAATCGTAACACAGCAGATTTCTATATACTCAAAGGTGCAACAGGTCAATATATTCGGCACTTTTTCTCACTTGGCGATTTTTAGTAATAACTCAACCACAGCGCCAACTATCGGGTTAAATTGTGAAACTAAATCATCCAGAGACCCACTCAACACACAGACAAAAAATTTCGTCATAATCCGGACACCTATTTAGGAGGATTCACTCACAAACACACCTACAAAGAATTATAAATGCATTCAAAGATAGCCAAAAGTCGATACGTTTGTAGGCCTTGCGCCCCCATTTCAAATAGCCCCTTTTTCTCCATGGGTATGGGCTTGATTTCATATACATACATATCTCCATACGAAGTTCCAGTACTGTACCACGAACACTTTCAGAGTTATGCAGTATGAAAAATTCGGTTTGTATTGGGAGGTGCCACGCCCTCTTTTCCCATAGCTCCAATTCTTCTTCATGAGTATGCAATTCATTTCATATATCTCCACACCAAGCTCCAATACTCTACGTAGTATGAAAAATTCGGTTTGTATGGGAGTTGCCACACCCCCTTTTCCAATAGCTGCAATTTTTCTCCAAGAGTATGCGATTGTTTTCATATACCGCAATACCAAGTTCCAGTATTCTACCATGAGGCGCCACGCGCCCTTTACATATCGAAATTTTTTTAGCCTATAACCATCCTTGGGACGTGTACGGTAGGTGTCCGAAACTTCAAAGAAATCGGTTCAGCCGTTCTCGAGCTTTGCAAACACAAAAAAAAAACGGCTTCCGAAATATATATTAGTATAGATGCGCATATATAGTGTCTGTGTTATGTTGTGAATGTGTGCGCTCCAATGCATCCCACTGGGAAAATAGGTAAGCACCTTACGAGGTAAGCCATGTTTTCTTTCAGTTTTTAGTACCAAAATTGTCATCATGGCCAATGTCATCTACTAGTAAAGCACAAAATGAATACCTCCAACGACACATTACGTTGTCAGTTGCAAAGTAACGTGCAGCCGAAGTTATCTCCAAGCGCCGAACTACTCCGAGCGACTTCTCTGCATTACACGTAACTTACTTTGTAAAGCGGCTCAGAAGTATGTCTGATACCAAATGTACATTCTAAATTCCTAATTACATAAGGCGGCCATGCCTTTGTAAAAGTAAGGGACGTTCGGCAGGGAAATGGCAATGACTGCCAGGTGAAGAGTAAGTTGCTAATAAGGTATTATTACGTGCTCCTAATTCCCACTGGGATAGTTTTCCAATAAATAATTTTTTTAAACTTCTCTATCGCTCATAGGTATGTATATATGTAAATAGATATCGCACACCGTCTTCAAAAGAGTCACAACTCAAAATTTGGCGTATTATTTTGAGTTGTGACTCTTTTGAAGACGGTGTGCGATATGTAGTGTAAGCGCCAATCTATTATTATTATTATTAGGTATACATACGTAATTGTTCAAGAGCACGACCACATTGCTACTTACAATGTCAGCATGTTTTACAAGTTTAAATTATGTTGCGGTCGCTTACCATATACGGACATAATTTTTTTTGTGACAATACAAAAGTGCGTATTCCAATATCGATTGCCAAAAAAGGCGGAGTCGACACAAATCACTTCATTTACAAAGCATAAAAACGCTAGTTTTCAAAGTATGTAATAGCATAATTGGTTAAGCCTACATCATAAATGGGAGGCATGGAAATACAATAAATAAATACATACATACCTACAAAACGACACACAACATGCAAATATACTATGTTGCTAATAACTGTAAATTGGAGTATCTATGAATCATAGGTGCCGCACAAAACA